GAAGCCGCGATTATTTTAATCGCGGCTTCATTTCCCTCTTCCGAGCTGGCTAATCTACATGCCTCCGTCGACGGAGGCATGGAGTCTGGACACAGCCTTGGTGGCTGTTTAGGGCAGTGTTTCTTAAACTTTTTAAGACCGAGGCGCATCAAACAATAATTTTTTTTTATGAGGAACACCAAGGTCAGGGGGGAAGGGTTGGGGGGAAGTTATTGAGCCTTTAAGGGTGGCGATTTTGAATTCTGTTGTTCTCCGTGGAACACCTCGCGGCACACAGGTGTGCCACGGAACACAGTTTAAGAAACACTGGTTTAGGGGATATGCAGAATCAGTGCATTTTGGCCATTTTCCAATTGGAACCATCTTCTTTTCTTTAAACAAACAAAAAAAGCCCACACAAACCAGTTTAAAAGCTTAAGACTAACAAAATGTTTCCATGTTAGTTTTTTTTTAACTGTAGTGCTAATTTTTAAAAAATAAATAAACATTCCCTTATACTGCAGAAGTGCTGGTAACCCAAACATTAGATTAATGTCATGTTCGTGCAGGAGAACAAGAAACTGTAATAATCTGTAACTGCTTAGGGTTTTCAATTGATTACAAATTCTAAGTCAGGAACAAATGTGGCTAGCCTCTCTTCATTTTCCATTCTATAGCAAGTCTCTAGATAGTGATAAATAATGAAAAATGAATTATTTGATAAACTAAACTAAGGTGTTATAAATAATTGGTAATTAAGTTTACAGTGTTCTTTTAAAACAATACTAACATCTCAGCTGAATGTGAGTTCAGCTTCTATCAGTTAGCTGTAGGTAAACACATTGTCAGAGTTAAATAACATTTTGAAAATTCACTTTTCTGTGATTTCCCTAAAAGCATTTTCCAGCCTTTTTTGCAGAAACATAATTTGGTGATTGCTAATCATTTTATAATCCAAATCTGCAAAAAATTATGCACATGCTTAATTTTAAGATTAAGTAGTCCTGAAGTCATCTTGCCCCTTTGTTGTGCTACCTTCTTGTTTTTCTCTTTTCTGACTTCAACTTTTTTATTCACCCACATACTAGCTACTGGTTTGTCCTTTGTAGTTCAGAGTGCATCGGGGCACTGATCAGCCTCGATTCATGCTGATTTCAATGGAAGTTGAAGACATGCAGCATCACATAAGATTGGGCCCCAAATAACCTCTTATGTGAAGTGCAACTGAGTGTGTTTTCTTGAATATTAGTTTCACGATCCTGTTCTTTTTTAACTTGCTAGGCAAAAATCATTTTTGTATGTGGTACATTTCTCAAGCCACTGTGGATAAAATTTTCAAACCCCTAATTCCCATTTAGTCACTCAGGAGCCTAAATTTAATGAAGTCAGTGGAAGTTTGCTCCTAATTTTTTTAAGTCCTGTTTTCAGATACACTATTTTCATAAGTGCTTTTTGCAATTTTACCTCTTTACCATCAGTTTTCACACAGGTTGACACTTGTAATTTATTCTGTTTGTAGGCAAAAGCTCTCATGGACAAACTTCAGAAGACTGTATCATCTGAGGGAAGATTTAAAAACCTTAGAGAAACACTCAAAAAGTATGTTTTCTTAAATAATAAATTAGCAATATAATTATATTTTGTTAAGAATATTGGATAGCGCTTATTCAAGAGTTGGCTTTGAGTTTATCTTTTATAATGAAAATTGTATTGGACAATATTTTTACTGAATAACCTCTCTAAAGCTGGCTTTATTCTATATGAGCATCATTGTTTTGCTGAATATACTGTAATTTGGAACCTCTTATAATATGTAATATGGTTCTTCTGGGAAATTACCAAAGCAAATTAAACTAGTAATTCGTAAAAAATTATCACTATTGGGGGCTTTTCTGATACTGATGAACTTTTTTCAATAAGTGTAACACCAGCTTTATAAATAAAATGTTTTACTCTTCTGATAATGTTTATTTGACATTAATAGTCCCAGAGTTCAATATGAGTGGCTCCAAAGAGCTCTCAATACAGATTTGTTATCTCCAAATGTGAGCACAGACACCAAGAGCTCTATCTGGAAAAGGGATCTCCCAGACTGATTGACAGTAACTGTGTTAAATCATCTTGAGGGTGTGTCTAGACTACAGGGTTTTTTCGAAAAAAGTAGCTTTTTTTCAAAAAAACTTCACCTGCATCTAGACTGCAGCCACGTTCTTTCTAAAGTAAATCGAAAGAATGTGGCAGTTTTTTCTATCACGATAAATCTCATTTCATGAGGAATAACAAAAAACTACTGAATGCAAACTGTGCTTTTTCAAAAGAGAATGTCTAGACTCTCTTTCGAAAAAGTGTCTCGCTTTTTCAAAAAATCTGCTTGTAGTCTACATGTTCTCTTTCAAAAGAGGCTTGTAGTCTAGACATAGCCTGAGAGAGTGCTACTTTTCTTACCTACTATATATCTGAGAGAGTTTGTACGTTTGCTCCAGAACGCCTCCTAAACAGTTAGAGCTAGGACCACCAAATTCAGTACACAGCTTCCTCTTATCATAACTTAAAGCAACATAAAGGTTTGGTTGTGTCAGGAAAATGGGATGTGCCTGGAATGAGATTGCTTCTCATAAAACCAAACAGAAAAGAGACAGAATTGTCAAATCAAGCACAGTTCTGGAAATTGACATAACTAAGCGAATGTTGTAAGAGGTCTCAGAGTGGGCTCAGAGAAGGCAGGGGCTCAGGGCAAAGGGGTAAAGTTCCACCTCTGTCCACCGCAGCGTTGTGTCAGGAAAATGGGATGTGCCTGGAATGAGATTGCTTCTCATAAAACCAAACAGAAAAGAGACAGAATTGTCAAATCAAGCACAGTTCTGGAAATTGACATAACTAAGCGAATGTTGTAAGAGGTCTCAGAGTGGGCTCAGAGAAGGCAGGGGCTCAGGGCAAAGGGGTAAAGTTCCACCTCTGTCCACCGCAGCACCGTGCTAGGGGTGGGGGAGAGGGTGCCTTTCCCCCATCCCCACCCCCACCTGTGTTTACTCCATGCCGGGCCCAGAGGAGGGAATGCCTCCCTCCAGCCATGGCACCCAAGCCATATTTACTGCTGCCAGGGGACAAGTGGTCCTTCATGGCCCCAACCGAACCTGGACCTGCCTCAGCAGGGGGACATGCATGCCTCCCTCGTCTGTGCCCATTGGAGCTATAGTGGCCATAGAGAAGCGCTTCTCATCTGGCCCCAAGCTACTGCAGTGTGAGAGGGAGTACAATATAGAGAGTATAATATAACCTTTGTCCTCTTGAAATTAGCAGGAAGTTGGACTGAGGTGAAAACATCTCTAGAAAAGTTCCCTAGCTGCACTATCCTTTCTGTAGGTCACCCCCTCAGAGTGGATTATGCATCTGTTCCCTAAAGGAATTTCCAACGTTAGGAAATTTAAGTGTTTTCAACTGCATAACTAGGGTTGCCAGATGTCCAGTATTGACCCGTACAGTCTGGTATTTTCGCCTCCTGTCCCATAAAAAATGCAGAAAATACCAGATACCTAAAATGTCCAATATTTTCTGATTTTTTTTCCCGTCCAGGAGGCAAAAATACTGGACTGTCCAGGTCAATACCAGACACCTTGCAACCCTACACACAGTCAGCAACCGGGCGAAGCCTGCCTGTCTCCTCCCCGCTTACCTGGTTCTGCAGGGGTGCTGTCTGGTCCGGAGCAGGGAGAGAAGATGGCCGCCGGCTTCCGGCAGCCTGTTAGGAGAGGCAGAACTCAGCCCCTGTTTTTAAAGGGACTATGCTGGGTTTATTTTATTTTATTTTTTTGCTTAATAACTCTAGGGGTCCTTTTTTTTTCCTCAACAGTTTTGGTCCCCCCCACCCTTTTTTTTTTTCAACAGAATTTTTTTTCCTAGTGTTTTTTTTGGGGGGGGGGGAGGGGTGGGGTGTTTGGTATTTTTGGTTAAACCATCAGGCAAGCCTAGGCATAACATATTAAATGTTTACCAAACCAGCATTGTAAAGATCCTAAGGCTTTTTAGTATAAGCAATATTTTAGTATAAGTAATACATTGCATGAACTATACAATATATGCAATGCATTGCTTATACCAGTGGTTCTTAACCTGGGGTACATGCACCCCCTGGGGGTGCGAGATGCCCTTTCTGGGGGTGCAAAACATGCCAGATTTTTATGATATATCTTAGGTTTAAAACTGACCTACTTCAACGATTTTTAATAAGGGGTGGGAGAACATATTTTGAGAACCAAAGGGCTGCAGGCAGCAGTAAGGTTAAGAACCATTGGCTTATACTAAAATACAGTACCTCAGAACAGTAGAGATGACTTGAAAGCATGTTTCAATGCATTTTCAGCAGTGCATTGGCTTTATTTCTGAAATTTTCTTTCAGCTATATGTGCAACATATTTGAGGGTGCATATCCAATGCCTTTCCCCTTTCTGCATGGTAGTGTTATTGTGGCTTTTAATAAATGTTATCCTTGTTTCTCTCATAATTGACAGTTTGACATTTGATACACCTGGCCAAATTTGTCTTTAGTAGAAGTGTGTGCAACTCAGGGGAAACCAGAGCATCTGCCCCTTTACATTAACCTATGAATTTGTTTGGCCCAACTTGTAGAAGTATTTTTAGAAATTAAAAAAACCCTTAGACATTTGTGTAAAGTATAAAAAACAGTGTATAAATTGAATCCTAGTAGAAAATAATTTAATTTCTCATCCTGCAGTTGTAATCCTCCTGCAGTTCCCTATCTTGGAATGTACTTGACAGACCTAGCATTTATTGAAGAAGGAACACCAAACTTCACTGAAGAAGGACTTGTCAATTTTTCCAAAATGAGAATGGTAATTTTTATTTCCATACATGTTTCCATTGCACATTTTTAAGTTCACAAATTTAACATTGATTTACTTAGAACTTTTTTGAATTCAAATGGCAAGATTACATAATATATATGCACAATATGAGGTCAATAGAAGTTTGAAAACAATCTTTTTGCAAATGAATCAAGGGATAGTGTTTTTTCACCACCTACTGGCAAGTCAAGGAATATTGCAGTTTAGCTTTCAGTTTGGTCAGCTAAAGTTGCAAGAAGAAAAAGCTTTTGGTTTAGGCTTCCAGGGATTAATAAATTATGTTTAAAAAAAAAAGTTGCCAACCTGGTACCATAATTCATCAAACAGCACCTCTCAAAAGAGGTCTTTTTAGAGCATGGTTGGGACTACTGCTCCTCAAGGGAGTGAAAAAGGCTATTAAAAGATGGATTCTCTCTGCCTTCCAAATTGTGCTATTGTTCAGAGCTCCTCAGAGACTTGCATTGGAGAAATATTGACACCAGCTGCTCTGCTAACTGTAGTTTAATGCCATGTTTGTGACTTTACATTGTAGAGGTCACCTGAGGGAAACATGAGGAGAGTATCAGGGTAAAGAAAGAAGGGGCGAGGTGATCCACCTGAGACTATTTAGTAGTGGAAATGGCTGATGTGGGAAGGCAAAAAGCCCTCTCAAAGCCACAAGTGCAAAGCCCTTACCTCCAGAATATTTTGGACCAAATTCATTCCTGATGTAGCTTTACTGAATCCAAAATGTTCAAGTTAAAGCACAGACAATAAGCAAAACATTTTATCATATAAATTTATTCCATTGATAGATATCACATATTATCCGGGAGATACGCCAATTCCAGCAGACCTCCTATCGTATAGAACATCAACAAAAGGTATAGTAAGTAATATGTGATGCTGATCAGAGGTAGGGCGACAGTTATGTCATGGAGGTCATGGAAGTCATGAAATCCAGGACTTCCATTGACCTCAGAGATATTTTCTGCCTCAGGACTGGAGCTTCCAGCCAGCCTGTTTCTGCACTTCCCAACCCCCACCTGGTGCAGGAACCATGCAAATGCCCAGTCCTGTTGGGCAACTGGGGGACTCCTCACAGCTGGCCTACCGTGGCAGGCATCCAGCAGATCCCGCAGCTGCCCAGCCATGCCAGCTGGCTGGGGGACCTTGCAGCAGCCCAACCCCATGGTCAGGGGACCCCAGCAGCCATGGATGCTGAACCCACTAACCCTTTTGTCAGAGATATTTTTAGTGAGAGTCAGGAACAGACCATGGTTTCCATTAATATTTTTTCTTGTCTGTGAACCATCCATGACTTTTACTAAAATTATCCATGATAAAAACTCAGCCTTAATCATATGTGCTATGAGGGAGGTTGTTCCTGCTATCAACAAAAAGATACACAGATGGGCTCCCCGTACAGTAACAGTAGGAGGCAAACTGAAATTTGTCCTGACACTTTAAGTTACCATAAGCTGCTAGAGTAACATTATCATCTCAGGCTTTGTTCATGAAAGCATTTCTTGCCTCCTCCACCTCTGCAAGAAGTGTAGCTCCTCTGGCAGTGGAGTCAGTACAGTTCTGCAGTATGAGAGGGACAGGACTCAGTGTGCCCCTTTCCATACCCCGCTTCCACAAAGGATACCAGCACACAGGAAGTACATGATGTGTTTGACCATCTGATGCTACTACATAGATCTCTGTAATTTTAGGGGAAGATTCCCCTCGCTCCCATATTTCCCTGGTTCCCAGAATGGCCACATGGGTTAGACACAAGAGTGAAGATTTGCCTTTTATTGAGAGAGAGGTTTTTTTTAACATCTTGAATACTTTGTACCACATATAATTAACTATTCTGCTTCACCAAGAAAACAGAACATAAGAGATGATTGCAACATTTGTCTGAAATGGACTGAAGCTGCTAACTAGCTGTTAGGGGGATGTAGAAGATGGAGAAATTGCATTAAAGATATATAGACATTTCAGTTTCAGAAATATATATTGCAGTTGTTTTCTGTATTCCAGGTCACTCATTACTTACTTGACAAGACCCTCATCATAGATGAGGATACTCTATATGAGTTATCCCTAAAGATTGAACCGAGACTCCCTGCCTGAAGAATGAGCTTCGTCCCAGAGTTGACAAGAGTTTTAGTGTAATGAACAGAATTATGCATGCCATGCCCTACAGATCATAAAGGGAAAGACTGAGAATATTGCAAACTCGCTTTTTCAATGAAGGAGACAGAGCCGCACAGAAATTCCCTCTTAGACAAGGAAACTCAGCAACTGGAGGTGAAAGACAAAATACTTCAGACTTGAGGGTTAAGTGATTGTTACTTTGCAAAGATAATATTTTGCCAAATGGACTGTGCATCTAATAGAAAACAGAAGCCTTTCATGAGAATAGCTACCATTGCAGCCATCCTAACGGAGCAGAGAAAGAGACAAATTTAAACGTAGGTACTCTATTTCATTAGATTAGGATAAATGGGCAAATACAGATGGCATTGATCAGCCACAGATTGCTTATCAAATGTGTATCTATTGAGGCGTTCATGGGATTAATCTGCTTTCATTATACCGTATTCATTGCAAACAATAGGATCTGAGAATAATTTACTTACCTTCGGTGATAGCAAGATAATATTTAAGATCTTTAGCTACAGCTGTTCAAAGTTTTTGTTATAAATTAGACATTTTCATTTATAGAATATTAAAGTCTTAAAATATTTTATCTGCCTTTTCTAAGGAGGAAAGTTTTACATGCTACAAATTAATTAATTTACCTTTGTAAATATTGTTTTCATCGGTACATGATGAGGAAGGAGTTTTACTACGTGGAATGTAATAAACAGTGTTAATAGTTGCAGGCCATGGGTGCATTAACTGGAATATCTGAATTTAGGAGCTGTATTTGGAATTCCTTTTCCCAGATTTGTGAACATATCATGAATGAGATACTTGGTTATTTTGCACATTGTCTCCTGAGAAAGGCACTCTGATTGTCTGTATGGCATCTCTGACAGTTCAGTGACTATAAAGCACCTACTGTACACATGGGGGAAAGGAATGCTAACCTGTTTTGGCAATGTATAATGTTGAGAAATGAAGCGAGCAGGACTAACATTAAATGGGTTGTTTAAAAGCATCTGAGTGTCTGCTAGAGAAAATATGCCATTTGTAACTGTTTTTAAAACCCATGCTACTGAGTGATTCTGGGTAGAATCAATTTTCTGCAAATATATGGCTCTTCATACTGTTTCCTGTTAAAGAGTGACCTATTGTAGCTGCATGGAGGATGAGCTCAAAATGCATGATATGCAGTATGTCATAACACAGGTCTTAACATGGTTGAATATCTAGGCTGGAGATGTGTTCTGACTTTTCCAGGGATTCTCAGCCAGTTGACAAAATAGGGCAATATCATTTATTTACCTCCCTTAAATCCTCTCAGGGAGATAGCTGTTGACCTGAGCCTAATTGATCTGACATTTCTTACCACCATTGTAAAGTTTCTGAATGTTAACCATGAAAATGGATCTGCCAGGCTTTTGGATTTTGTCTTTATTTGCACTTTAATTACATTGTTAGCTAAGCCAAGAGCTACACAATAAATTCCATTTGTTGTAAATGTAAACACTTGCAGTTATAAATATACATTAGTACATGTGAATTTTATTATGCTTCCTGCACAGAAACACCATCTTTGTAAATAACTGCATGATTAAACATCAAAGAAATAGTGGTAAATTCCTCATTAAAGAAAAGAAAAAAGAAGCTTCCAGAATTATTTTTAAATAATTCTGATTAATGAATGCTGTAGAAGTCAGCATGGAAAGAGTTATGATAGATGCTTTTTATCTTTTTCAAAAAGTTGCTTGTTTTTTTCAGAAGTGATTGATGAGAAGCTGATTGCATCCTGATGCATGATAAACAAGAAGCATGGGTTATTTGGATCATAAAGCCAACCTACATGTTTTCTTTGTATTCATAATACAAAATGAATGACCATAATTCAATTGCATAAAATACCTGAAGGTCACACAGTGGAAAACAGAAGCAGTCAAACTGGTTTTAAAAGCAAAAACATTAAACAACTGTAAGTGTTCTCCTAATAGATCTTTGTGGCACACCCTGTTGGCTACTACAGGCAGTCCCTGAGTTACACGGATCCGACTTATGTCGGATCCGCAGTTACGAACGGGGTTTTTCTCGCCCCGGAGGACTGGAGCAGCGGGACGCCCAGATGCGCCGCGGTCCCGCCGCCCGCGTCCTCCGGGGCAAGAAAAGCTGCTCTGCATCTCCCTGGTCTGCTGGGGGGGAAGTGCCGCCCCTCCCCCCAGCAGACCAGGGAGACGCTGAGCAAAGCCGCAGAGCACGCGGGCAGCGGGACAGCCCAGACGCGCCGCGGCTGTCTTTGCTCCCCGTCTCCCTGGTCTGCTGTCTCCCTCGGAGGACAACAGCAGCTGGACAGCCGCGGCGCGTCTGGGCTGTCCCGCTGCCCGCGTGCTCTGCGGCTTTGCTCCCCGCCTGC